TTTTAAAACTTGGTCATAAGATAAGTGAAGAAAGGTAGTGTTGCATAGCTATGTATTGTTATGAGAGTTGTTACTAATCTAAAAAGAGCTTGTTTGCTCTCTACTAATCAAGTATACAGACACTAAAACACACACAGATACAATAGGTATGATAATGACGTAAATGGCAGATGGATCATTTTACAATTATTTCCAATTGATTTCAATCTTAGATCATTTTATATTCATTCTTTCTTCTTTTTTTTCTTTTTCTTACAAAGCATATAGCAACACATTTATCATTTCTTTCTCTTTTTTTCCTTTTTGATTCTAATTTTTTTCAGATTGTTTTTACAGTTTTCAATTGTCGTTACAAATCATTCAATCATCATCATCATCATCATCATCATCATCATCATCATCATCATCATCATCATCATCATCATCATCATCATCATCATCATCATCATCATCATCATCATCATCATCATCATCATCATCATCATCATCATCATCATCATCATCATCATCATCATCATCATCATCATCATCATCATCATCATCATCATCATCATCATCATCATCATCATCATCATCATCATCATCATCATCATCATCATCATCATCATCATCATCATCATCATCATCATCATCATCATCATCATCATCATCATCATCATCATCATCATCATCATCATCATCATCATCATCATCATCATCATCATCATCATCATCATCATCATCATCATCATCATCATCATCATCATCATCATCATCATCATCATCATCATCATCATCATCATCATCATCATTATTATTATTATTATTATTATTATTATTATTATTATTATTATTATTATTTTACTTGGTATTGTTTTACTTGAATCTTCACATTCAGTTTTCGAGTCCCAAAATAGGACGAAACACGCGTCCTAGATTCCATTGCTAACCACTATCCATCTATGTTTATCATCATTATTGTTTTGTTCCCATTTTAATTGATTTTCTATTCAAAGTCAATCATTATAATCATGTGAATGAATTTGAAATAGATGGATAAATAGACGCCCACGTAGCCGAGCGCGCGCACGCGCACACACACGCACACACACACAAGTGCGATCAAGCAAGTTGGTAACTATGCGTGTAAAACAAAACAAAAACAAAAAATGGATTGATTGAAATTTGAATGCGTTTTATTCTTCTTGTTCAAATGTCAATGTAGCGGAGGGAAAAAAGAAGTTTTCAAAAGATTAATTGTCTATAGAAGTATATGAAAGGTAAAGTTTTGTCATAAATCATTATTTAATTGTAATTTTATGTTACATAATCATCAAAGCGACAACAACAACAACTTGTTGTCTATTGTTTATAAGAAGAGAAGTTTTTGATTAACCAAGTAATAGGTTGTTAAACTAATTATCATAATTATAATAAGAGTAGTGAATAAGAACACTAAATGTAGTCTAGTGTTCTTATTGATACGATTTCTTTGATAGATTCTCAGAACTATACAACAATGAATAATTCATTTGTAAAATGTCAATTAATTGTCTTAGATTTGATTGTCTCTTTATTTCTACATCAATCATTCTTTGTTCTCACTGTGTTCTCTTCAATTCTTTTTAACCTTCTACAGATAGATATATCAAATTCAATTGATGATACATACTACTTATATCTGTTGATATCAGTAGTACATAAAATAATATGAGTAGCCATACTAAAGAACTGAATTTCGATCATAATATTTGTTCCATTAGACAAATTTGAGAATGGGTAACTTGGTAGTAAAGATACTAGGTTCGAGTCCTGTAATGAGTATTGATTCTGAAATGTAGGCACATCCAGTTGACGGATGCAAAAGAGGCCAAAATGGGTGTCTTCAATTTCACTGCTAGCCAATATTTATACTTATATTTATGAAATATATTTGGGACAATTGTAGTGAACGAGAACATAAGTGGGGACAATCAAATGTACTTGAACACACAAATAAAGAATCTATCAGTAAAATTTGCGAATTGCAAATCAATCGTCTAAGACTTCATTGTTCTTTCACTTTCATACCAATCATTCTCTATTCTCGTTCTCTTTCCTTAGATCTTCTTAACTTTCTGCCACTAGACATTTCACTTTCGATTGATGATATTTACTACTTATATCTGTCGACATCAGTAGCATACACCACAATAGTATCACATAAACTAAACATAAATTTTGAACAATTTGGTGTGACCAGAAATTGTGGACGACTTTTGAGCGATGCCAAAGTGACCTTGGGCATGTCCACCTATCAACTAGGGCAGTTTCAAGAACAAAAATTAGGATTTACAGTTGATGGTTGGGGTTAGGAATTAGATTTACGATATTTTTATCAGCTATTTGGTCAATTTCACGCCAAACTCCATGATCTATTATCCTAAATCTGATTGGTTCATCCATAAATTATATTCCCATCAACTTATATATGATGTAATGCATGAAACTAAACGATATCAATCAGTTTATGAATTATTTGAGTATATAAAATTTTGAGATAAACAAGGTACTTTATGAATTGGCTTCATTTATGGCTCATCATTTGTATGTTATTAGCTTAGCATTGATAGTTTGATTGATTAAATAGATACGATAAAGGATGAAGTTATTGTATATATTGAACAATAAACTAAATGATCTTAAGATGCTTATATCACATCCATGACCGATGATTATACAATCTACTACAATCAAACATCTGTATCATTAATAAGGAGATAGGATATATGTTTATGAATTCACTTTTCAGTGCTTGATTTGTGTGTAATATCTAACACTTGCACGTTCATTTAGTAAGTGAGTGAGTGAGTATTTTATTTAAGAGTATAACTATCACTGAGAATTTCATTTCAAGTCCCAACTTCCACAGTTTTTTCTTTGTTTTTTCATTCAGCAATTTGAGAAGTGGTATAGTGTCTTGTTTGTAGAAAATATATAACGACAACTTTAGATGATTGATAGATAGTGGCTAGCAATGGAATTCAGTTTTACGCGCGTTTCGTCCTATTTGGCACTACCTGTTTTGACTAGTGTTGAGGATGCTTGGAAGAAAGTTAGCGGAGGCCAAACGAAGACATAGCATCAATCCTTGAAGTTACTAACTTCTAGTCTGAGACATGTTGGTAGACTACTTGGTTGGGATCCGCATGACTATCGTAACCAATGTTTGGAGATTCTGGGTGATATGTGGCTCAGAATCGATCACAATGGCGTAGGTGTATACACTATCTGTCAACCCTTAAACTATGAGATTAAAATTGCTTCATATGTTTCTTTCTACCAACTAGTTCTTTCTTCCTCTATTATATATTTATACACAACCTTTCTTTTGTATATTGTTACCATTGAATTAACTACTTCTATGAATTCAGGGTTCATCTTGTTGTGCTAATGATATAAGGCAACTTGGATCGATGCCTATATGTGCCTGGTTCTATGTTGTGGCTGACTGACTGACTAACTTAGTCTATGTTTTGGCGCGAAATTCATCCATCCATTTAGCTAAATAGCATCTGGGTATTATAGCTGATATCAGTTCATGATGAAAACCCTTATTCTAATTCCTCATTCCTCACAATCATTTATAATCCACTTTTAAACCTAATAAGATGATGAATGTTCTGAATGTCACTTTAACGTCCCTCAAAAGTCCCCCATAAATTGTTACCTCATTATAACTTGCCTACTGTGGGAGAGAACAAACCAACTTCCAATCGAACAGGAAATTAGGAAAAGACGATGGAAACGGATAAGACATACATTACGGAAATCACCGAACTGCATCACATGGTTAGCTCTGACTTGGAATGCTGAAAGGAAGCGGAAAAGAGGAAGAGTAAAGAACACATTACGTTAGGTAATAGAAGCAGATATGAAAAGGATTAATAAAAACTGGAAAGTATTGCTCAGGACAGTGTTGGATTCAGAGTGCTTGTGGGCGGCCTATGTTCCTCTAGGACGAGTAACTGGTGTAAGTAATTAAGTAAGTAAGTATAACTTAAAAGGTTCCGTAGACTTGCATTCTATTCATTTCTTTACTTACTTAATAATTATGTCTGTTACTCTTAATGGAGCAGCATTCTCCAACTCACTCTGTCCTAAGCCTTCCTTTCAAGTTCTATGCAATTGTTTTTTCATTCATTTCATATCTTTCTCCATTTCTCAGCATAATATGTTCTTTGATCTTCCTCTTCTCTCTTAGACTTGAGGATTCCAAGTGAGGACTTGCCTTGTGATGCAGTTGTATGCTTTCTTCAATGTGTGTCCTATCTAATTCCAGCGCTTCTTTCTGATTTCTTCCTTCGCTCTGTTATTGTTCCTATTTCATTTCTGTTGAGGACGTTAGATCCACAGAACTCACTTGGGAAAAGACCTAATTTCGTAATTGTATTTAAAAAATTTGAATTTCTTTGTTTTCGCACCAAAGGCGCTCTTGTCATCTTTATGTCGTATTTCCCACTGGGAAATGCAATAGCATAGAGTTGTGAATTCGTTCCGAAGACCGCAATAAACAGGAAATAAAGACAACGGGAAAAATAATTTGAATATCCTCGGGAATTATAAACTCATTTGATGTGTAAGCACTGCCAAGCAGGGAGGGGTAACTACAAAATGTATCAAAATAATGTGTGCAGCAACCAAACAGAGCGAACGACCACCGGAACAAAGTGAAAGAATGCACACAACTGGCTTGGAAATTCAGGAATCAAAATTAACATAAATGCGACGTTAAAGTTTAACGAATCACAAAGTTGTTAGATTGAAGGGACATGGAGTATTTATTAAAAGTCCCCTCCCTGAATAATAGTTTGAGCCTGCAATTCGGATGAGTGTTTTTACCAGTGTAATTTGAGATAAATTAACCAGCACTTGGATTGATACAGAAAACATGACCATGTCATGTCAGCTCAAAAACAGCTTTAAAATTACTTACACAGCCAGCAACATGAAAGTGTTCTTACTACGTTTAAAGATAGAAATCATTGTATGCCGTTGCCAAGGTTATTAGCAGAATTATTGGAACCAGAATCACGTAAAGGGGCTCCTGGATCAGAAACATTTGTATGAGGAATATTTTGGTGAGTCATTAAAGCAACAACCTGACGACCGTTGGAAGTGGCAGAAACAAGTTGTGGTTGGGACTGGTGAGAGAGGTGGGTTGGGCCACTTGCAGGAGCGGTTGTGTTAGTAAGTATTATGTGAGGCTGCATAGGATTCACTGTACCACTCAAGGGTTGGTGTTGCTGTGATCTAAAGTGTACAATAGCTGCTTGTGGTGTAGAGGACTGACGACCCATATTTGAACTTGAAGCTGGGGTTAAGCGCTGAGGAACAGCACTAAGGACTTGAGACTGCTGATTTCCTACAGACAATATATTGGAACCAGTAGCTGGCCCAGTGCGTTTTTCAGTATGCTATTTGGTAACTTTTCCCAAGGACGGTTTTGCACTGTATATATACGTTTTGAATTGTGTTTTGTTGTTATCGCTCGTTTCTGGCTATTTTACAGAATATACTTCCCCATTCCAAGCTTGAACTTCTCCCTCTAGTTAGTAAGGTTGGGACGCATCAAATAGGCTAACTTACTGGTCTTTGGTCACCGAGTCTTGTTTCTCGTTAGCAGATTAAGTGATAGATTCAAACCTATCAATTTCCTTAAATTCTATAAAATAGAATACTCTTTACACTTCATTATTACTTCGAATAATATGGATATGTAACTAACATTTTTTTCATATTGTTTGTTTCACGCAATTAGAATATATTTCAGTGTGTGTTTGTGTGTTTTATTTCTTTCCGCCAATTCATATTCGATTTTTGTTTTGTTTTTATTCAGAAAAAGTAAACAACATGTAATTCATGAGTTCCATTTCCTGTTCACGTACACACACACACATACACACACAAGCACACGCACACACACACTCTCATTTGTTATAGTTACTTGTTTTCCGTTTCATGTTACTTTTATTACCTCTACTTTGTAAGTAAGAAAAAAAAGGAACAAACTTTTTTTTTGTTGTTTTACATCAAGTTGATTGAAATGTTTGTTTTCTAGTCACTTCTGTTCTCTCTCTCTCTCTCTCAGTTTTTATCGTTTTCTTTTTATTTTGTTTACTTATTTCTTTTTGTTTTTGTTTATTTTTCTTTTTTTATTTAAAGTGTTTCTTATTCTCTTTTGGCTATTCTATTATTTATGGGTGTGTGTGTGTGTATGTGAGTGTGTAAGTGAGTGTGTGTGTGTGTACGTGTGCACGCTTCCCTTGGATTCAGTACTTGATTAGGTTTCGATAAACATAAAAAGAGAAACATATCAAGAAATTAATCACGAAAAGAAAAAAAAAGCGAGAAAACTGTTTCTTTTTGTATAAAAAAAGAGAGAACGAAAAACCACTCAACTCATATTCATATTTAAACGTTATTTTATAAGGAAAATTAAAATGATCCACACACACACACACACACGGAGATAAAGCGAGAGAGAGAGAGAGGAACAGTCAGGAGATTGGTAGATAGAAAAAGTTAAAAAAAATTTTAGATTCATTTAAACAATATTAGCGGGAAGTTTGAATAACACAAAGATGGATAGTAGTTAATGCTTATAATGCTTGTGTGAATTAAAGAAATATTAAGGCAGTTCGCACAGGATGTATATATGCCGATAAGAGAGAGATTGATCAATTACAGTCCTAAAACAATAATGGAACTCCACCTGTAACTCTTCTAGAGTTACTGCTGATCCCAAGCCTGGGTAACGGAGGTGGGTTGGGTGTAGGGCCCGTAATTTTTGTCGTCATTTAGATCGGACAATGTTGTCGAAAAGGCTCTCCACTTTAGAGGCCCGAGATCTGACTCCAAGATGATAGTGATGAATGTTTATTATCACCTCTCCTCGTATATAATCATTGACTTAAATCACGTTAGTCAATAACGGAATTAAATAAGTCGAATAACGAGAATGGACTTGTGAATACATATATCTTGTATATAAAGTGAATGGAATGGACAGAAGAGAAACGACACAGAGTGGTGATGGCTGGTAAGCCAACTCGCATTTAACCAAGCGTTAATCGATAGTTATAATGACACAAAAGTAAGTTAAAGACATGTATGTGATGAGTAATGGAATAAGAAGTGAACAGACACCTACGCGCTCACATAAAACAGTCAAGATTGATAAGCGAATAAATAACAAGGTCAGAATGTGACTCAAATAGAACGAATAGAATGGGCTGTCTGAAAGCTAAAATAAGGTATATGAGCTTAACATAATAACCAACACTACATGTGCATGGGGTTAGCGACCTCATCTCGTAGAAAGCTAACTAGTTAAAAAAAACGCTAACCAGAAAAATAATTCAAAACAACTATGGGAATATACAAGTAAATAATACCAAGTGAATTTAAACCTTATCCCATAGAACAACCAAGTAGTTATCAGTAGCTAAATGGATAACGTGATGGTATTTGAAGCGAACAGTATTGGGTTCGAGTCTCAGAGTGAACATTAGCTGCGGGATGTATGTATATCCAGTTGACGAATCCGAAAATACGACGAAATGCGCGTCAAACTGGATCCCACTATCCATCTTTCCCTGTAAAGCTTGTGAATTAAGGCAATATCGAGGCAATCTGCATAAGATGCATATATACTGACAACAGACCGATCAATTACAGTCCTAAAACAACGATAGGAAGATACAAGCGAACCATAGCAAGTTAGTAGAAAGTTCAAATATTTTCATTTCCTTTATACAATAAAATACGTGACTGTGAATTTATAAAATATTCGTTTTTCAATGTTCAATATATACGTGAGATATCAAGTAGTTTAGAACAGTTTTTTATCAGAAAGGGGTTTTTGTGGATATTATAGTAACTTAATAGTTGAGTTCATGGGTCATATGAAGCTAGACCGCCATGGAGAACCTGGAAGTACTGGACGGCTGTCTCTTTCTAATATGCAACTCCTCATCTGTGCTCATCCACTATCTTGCCTCGCGGTATTCGAACCCACGGCGTTTGATCTCACAAGCTAATGCCTAACCTCTAAACCACTGAGTTTGTATTCAACAGTATTATTGTCTAACACCAACCAATCCATGATATTTCGCAACCATGTTCTATTGTCTTCGAAGGGTAACTATCTCACGGCCGAGACTGATTCGCTCTACTGTTCGTTGCTTTATAATGGATTGGTTGAAATTAGACATTAACACAACTGAATGCCATCTCATTGGTTTAAATATTAAGCGTTCGCATGCGGCATCATGAATGCTCTCTTCTGTGGAGTCACATACTAGGAAGAAACAACCACTCAATCGTTCTAAGTTCTCAATGGTGATCTAACATAATTCATGATCTCAATTAAAACTATTTAATTGTTTATAATAAATCAGTGAATGAAGCATCCTGTGTTCGAATCCCGCGAGTTGGGGTCGTGGACGCGCACTACTGAGGAGTACCACAATAGGACGAAACGGCCGTCCAGTGCTTACAGGTTTTCCATGATGGTCTAGCTTCAATTAACTCATGATCTTAATTGTTGAAAACATTTACTCTTGATTTATTTAAATAATCGTTCAAACTTTAATGTATTTTCATTGTGTATCTATGTAAGTTGTTTGTGAATCGATGAGTATGTATCTTTGTATACATTGTCATTGATAAAATTGTCATTTCTGTCATTTATTGAACAGTGAAGAGATTGAATGATTTCATTCACAATTTGGCTATGATTGATAAGCTTTCATTATTTTGAATAGTTACTAAGTGTAAATCAAATGAATTGATTAGATTACAATAATTACTTAGTGATGGGGGGGGGTCATCTTGTTTTTATCTATATATCAAACTGATCTGTTATAATGAATCTCTTTCCAACTAGAAACTCAAACTAGTTACAATTTTGTGTACCTGATCAGTATTAAAGTACTAAACAACTATAACATTAGGCATTACTCAGTGATCAATCCATGTAAATAATTTAGTCGTAGAGAAGGTTAGCTGTGACTTGAATAGTTTAGCGTACATATATTGAGTTGTGAAGCTGAGTGATATCGGTTCGAGTCTTAAATTGAGAACCGACCGGCATGAAACTTAGGATGAGCACGGTTTTCAGTCAAATACCTCTGGTTACGTAACATCAAAATAATTATCATTATAAGGTTGTGGGTATAGTTTAATTTGATTGGGATGATAAACCAGTTTGAGTTAGACAACTATTGAAAATGTGGTGACAGTGGATGACCATTTTGTCCGAGTATACGGCTCTACAGTACCGTGCGTCCATAACTCAGCAACCATCAAACGAACCTATGAGTGAAATCTAACCGTGTCGAGCATGAGGAGATCACTCACTGAAGATAATAAAATGTGGTCATATAATATGGAGTAAGAAAAGTTTACTTTGTCCACCATTGAATGCCATCTCAGTATTCTATAGAGTTAGCATTTGCATATGAGACCGAAATTCTTGGATTCATTTCCCGATTGTGATATTATGGGTGCGCATCACTTAGTCGCATCACTTAGGGAAGAATAAGTTGATGATTGCTTGTCAGACTTGTACATTTTGTCGTGATCTAGATAACAGTTACTTACTGAGTACACTTTGGTTTATGTTATGTAACTCTAGTCATTTCATAATTTATTATGATATTTTATATTATTTCATTAAGCTTTCATCCTATTTAAGTACATAAGGATCCTGTGTGCCGTATCGATCATCAATGCTAATGAGGAGATTGATAAATGACTAAGAAGCTATCATTAGAGAATCAAGTAAAATGTACACAAATCCGAGGAATAGATTCATTTGCCGTTTCGACCTAGAGGCTGAAACTCCGGTTAACTGCGTAATCACTTTGTCTTAATATCATGCTTGATTCCTGATCTCTGATCTACGATATAATTTTGAGATAAGATGTAAGCACAGAACCATGATATGTTTAAAATCACTCATTCTATCAGGTTGGTGCATTCGATTCTAATTCACACCTTTCTGATAAGAGTTATTAATACTACACCATAAATGTCCAACAATTTCAAGTCATTTCAATAGTTGAGATCATGAGTCGATTGAAGCTAAACCACCGTTGAAACTCTGGAAGCACTGAACGGCCCTTTCTTCCTATTGTGAGATTCCTCAGAAGTGCACATCAACGATCTTGCTTGAGGGATTCGAACCCAGGGCTTTTGGTCTCACGCGCGAATGCTGAACCTCTAGGCCACAGATGAGGCATCCAGCGGTGTTGATATCTAACCTTAACCAATTCATGAAAAAGCGCGACCATCT